AGGAACAGAGCATTTTACATTAAAATAAGAGAATTAGTGATGCATGAATGTTATTACATTCATGCATCACACACCACAGTGTTGTGGCGCTGTTCAGGTGTATTTTTGAAGTGGACATGTTAAGTGCAATTTGAAATAAGAAATGTAAAATATGATGAAAATAAATTTTTGTGTTTATTTGATTCCTATTCAAGACACTTTGATAAGAATGACTATTAATTTAATCTTTGTTTACATTTTTGGTTGGTGGTGTGCCTCGTGATTTTTTCAATTAAAACAATGTACCTTGGCTCAAACTACTGGACTAATTGACGCAGCAGCAGTTTAAAAATTTGCCCACTGTGCCTCATAACTGCTTAAAAATAAAAAAACAACAGCGTGGAGTAAAGACTGAATAAAACAGGAAAGGTTACACCACGAGTTTGGCAGGATTTCAGATATTTAAAACAAAAAGGGAATCAATAATTATCCGTTTTTAAAATCGTGATAGGTTTTTCAGCCAGTTTGTCGAGCCTTATTTTTACTCTTACTGGAGTAATTCCTTAGAAGGCTATTTTTTACTTTTACTTTAGTAAAAATATGTTGAAGTAGTGCTATTATTACTTCAGTACTATTTCTGGGTACTCTTCCCACCTCTGACTAAAATACGTTGCGGTTTGAGATTGTCACAAAATACAGACATGAGCACTTTTGCCACCCGTCTTCAGAAGAAAACGGTTTAAGAGTTTCTATTTAAAATGCATCGGAGAAACTGCAGCAGCACTGCTATTTAGGTAGAGGTCCAACCTGATCAAAAACAATAAAAGGTCACAGTTAAGAGTTGAACCTCTGAGAGGCAGCGAAACAAAGCTGAGCACAGAGCTGAATCAAATCTTTGAGGATAAGGAAGATTCCAGCCGCTCCACTCGCAGAAGTAGGTCATGCAGACGCCTACAGTATGCAACTGCAGGTTAAGTGCTTGTCTTTGTATTCCAGACAGCGAAGGTCTGCTGCGGCCTCTGGAGGGGGAAGGGGTGTCTTTGTTCTGCGTCCTCCCACAAGAGGGAGACAAGTCCACAGAAAACCACAGTGCAGGATGTTTTTGTTTTTTTTGTCTTTTGTCACATTGTTAAACTTCTAGAATTGATGCAGATCACTAGGAAGCATGACATTTTACATATTCTAGAAAACAGATTAAAAAATACAATGATTGATAAGACGATAGAGAGAATCTGGAGGAGGAGGAGAAGAAGATGGAGAGCCGGCAGACTCCAGCGATGACCCTGCTCCGGTGCTCTGCAGTGTGAGGTAGTTGGTTGTATGGTTTCGCATAATAAACAGCCTGGAGATAACTGTACAACCTTCTAGCTTTCCCTGCGGAGTCACCCAGACTTCAGATGGACGCCTTCAGTCTACCCTCCTTTTGATATGGTAAGTATAGAGAGCGGAGAGAGAAAAAGGGCAGAAAGTTATAATATAAATGACTTTTTGCTGAACCCAGAGAGGAATCTGTCTCAATAAGCACAGATTAAAGTAATTCCCGGGTTAAATTTAAACTAAACCTACTGTAAATTTGTTTCCTGACGTCTTTATGCAAAAAAGGAGCATATCTGTTATGCAGACAGTGAAACAGACGAACTGACAGTCTGCGCCACACACATCGCAGCTATTATTAGGTTTCAAATTATTCTAATTCGCTTTCAACTCAGTAATTATATTTGCACAAACACAAACAACAAAACAGTTTCAGTGCTGACTGTAAATTTAATAAATCTAGATTAGGTTTGATTAGCTTTCGAGATCGCGATAATCCAGTTTTCAATACAGACACCTCGCCCTGCAGTGTCTTTGATTAGTTATTTGGTGCAGTCTAACGGGATGAAGAGCCATCTGTCAATAACGGCTTCGTTTCATTAACATCACTCCAGGAGGTAATCTTACGTTTTGTCTGAATTTATCACAGCAGAATGAGACTAAAGTAATAGTAATGTTTTTAGATATTCATTCACTACTTGCTTATTTTTCTTTTTCAAAACCTAAAAATAGAAGTGAAGTGGTGCTTCTGTTTTTAAAATTTCTGCTGTAGATATCTATTAAAAATTACAAGTTTTTCCAAAACGTTGTTTCATTTCTGCTCTTTTGATTGAAACTACTTTTTATTTTTTGCTCAGTAGCTCTTGTCACATTAGCAAATTCTGCTAGATGATGAATCGTTCCAAGAATTTTTTGCGAAAAATGATAATATTGTAATATTGTTACATTATGGTAATGGCAAGAAGTCATTCTCAAAGATCTATTAACAATAAATTCTAATGAACATTTAACTCTGGAACTGAAAGACATTTTAAATATCCAAATAAAACAACAGAAAAAATAAATAAAATTGAAAATTAAGTCTTTGTAACAAAATTGTCCTTCAAAAGAAGGTCTGGTTGAGACCAAAGACTTTTCTCATCCAGTTTTCGGTAGAAAGAGAGAAAAACCCCCCAATAAATCATGCAATTGGAAATGATTGAACTTGTTTTAATTTTTCGTGCGATTGATTTATTACAGCAGGCCTTCTTCTCAACTCTAAGCGAAACCTTAGAGACGTGTTTTGAATCAGAAAACCTAAAAAAAATGAAACAAATGTCTGATTAAACGAGCAGACATTAGTGTCAGTGTCTCCTGAAGCACGAGGCTGAACTTGCCTCCCTGCCTCCGCCTCCTTCCCCTCCCCTGTCCCCCAGTGTGTCTGGCTAGTGGCTCAGACACCCAGTATCCGCATTGCGTTGCAGCGCTCCAGCGAGGAAGGGTGGGAAAAAAAAAAAAAAGCACATATCAGCGATCTCTGCTGAGCACTGCACAAAGAAGCAACTCCCCGGCAGGTTTCCAACTCCAGGGGAAATTCAGCCTCACATCAGACCCACTTTACACCTGCTGTTTCTGAACAGGCAGCCGGATTAATTTGATGTAAATTGTGTGTTTATATTACCCTCCATTATATTCACGCTTATTTTATTTTAAGCTGGGACTTTAAGCTGAGGAATTTGGCATAATTTCTGCCAAATTAAAGCGCGGTGGATGCGTTGTGTGCTGACATAAACTGCAGACTGTTTGTGCTGCTGTGGTCAGAAACGGCTGGGAGGTTAATCACCTTTGGCTTTCATCCTCACACAGCTTTTCGTGTCTCTCTGCTGCCTCTTTCACGCACACACTCCGCTCCCTTTGAGATGCAGGGGATGCAGGAACCAGAATGCAAACCCCCTTCCTGACAAACTCTCTCCTCCAGATGCAGGAGCATCCTATCGCCCAAAGACACACACACACACACACACACACACACTAAGAACGCATGGAGACACATGCCGTCATGTGAATGTCGGTTTTTTTTTTTTTTCTTCTTCTCTTGGCGAGACGGGACGTCACGCCTTGGAGAAAAAAAGTAAAAAGGGGGTTCAGAGAGTGAGCGAGACGGAGGAGAAGGAGGCGGGGACAGGGTGATGGAGGGTGTAAAGGAAGGAGAAAGAGCAATAGCTGGAGATGCTGCATGCTTGCATAAGTAACTCTGTGTGTTTGTGTGTGTTGTATGCAGGTGACACAGATTTATGACAGGAGAGGGTGATGGTTGTTGGGGGTTGGTGGAAGTGTGGGTGCCGTTAGAGCACCAGATAATGGAATCAATGCAACTGTCTGCATGTGTGTGTGTGTGTGTGGGTGTGTGTGTGTGTGTGCGCGCGTGTGTGCGTGCGTGTGTGCGTGTGTGTGTGTACCTGCGCCGTAGGCATCGACTGTTCGGACGCTAATCGCCTGGAGAATTAGTGATGTGACTTGGCAGAGGGAGACAGGCACACACCAGAGCCAGGGACAGCGGCTGAGAGAGAGGGATAGAAGAAGAGACAAAAAAAGGAAAAAGAGAGGAGAGTGAGGGATGGAGGGGTAGTGAGAGGGGGGAAAAAAAGAAGCTTTTTTCCCATTCGCCGCCGCACGCTGCGCTCAGAGAAGACTGTGGAGACGGGGCAGGATAGGTTTTATGAAACGCTTTCTTCCCTAGCAGATGGATAAATGTCGTTTTTCCTGTTTCTCCCATGGATTAATAACTGATCGTAACAGTGTGTTGTGTGCGGACCAGAGTGTAAACGTGTGTCTTTGTGTGTTTTCATGTCAGGAACAGCAGGCAAAAGCAAATGGTGAGTCCAGAATAACTTATTGGGCCGCTTAACAAACTGAGACGATCAGTCCGACTGACCGTGTCCGCCTTCCATCATCCGTCTCCATGTCCATTCTGTCTGATTCAGCGTTTCCACGTGTGAATGTTTCTCTGACGTCCTCCTGTCTTTGTCTCCTGTGCCTGCGAGGACAGCAGAGGAACTCATAAAACTGGGGCAGAGGAGGGCGTCTCAGTGCAGCAGAGACAAAGAGACAACAAAGAGACGCAGCGTAAATTCATAACAGACTGAACGCTACATGTCCCTTCGGACGAGTCGCATGTTTGTCTGCATGTTTTGCGCCCGGACGGAGACGAGCGTCCAGAGCTCGGGACGTGATACAGGTGTCCTCTGGACGAACCGGTGCTATTTGAGCCCCCCATGTGTGTGCCGTGTGTTTTGTCTGCAGAAAATGTTCAGGGCTGAACATCTTTGTCATGGGGGAGTGATTACATAATCCTATGAGATCATAAGGCCTGTAGGAATATAAGAAGGCATCGCTGTCTGGCTGCCGATGAAGCACAGGCGATAATATTTACAAAAAGATACACATTTCATCTTGACTTAATTTACTTTCTTTAATTCCTCCAACTTGCAGATAAAAACTACAGATCTCCATTTGTATCTTCAGCTTACCTCAAACGCTCGAACACGTGTCTGCCAGCAGGGGGCGCTTTCTTTGACTGTTTTACCCCACAGACCTGCACTGAATGAAAGGCGTTGGCTATGCCACTGAAACAGACGATAAAAAGGGATTAAAAATGAAGAAGGTTTGAGTAGATACACTGCCACTGCAACAAACTGAAATTTAACTGAGTGCGTCTGTCTTCGCAGGATGGGATCCGGTCCAGGTTCTGCAGAGCGTCTATGACAAACGGCAACCCAGCTTCTGTGACGTAGGAACTGTTTCTTATTTTAGACCTTCTTTTTCTCATCCTGCATGATGCGGTTAGTATTTAAAGCCTAATAAGTGTGAAAGTTAAGTGTTAAAACTCGAATTTGGTGGGTTGCACCAGTGTGCTTCATTGTCCCTGAGACCCTTAACCTGTGATGATGTAAAAGGTCACAGGTGAGGTCCTTGGGAACAACGTTTCATGCATTTGCTCCAGCAGAATCAAACATTTTAAGTCTTTTTTTCAGAATATATTTTTAAAATGTTGACAGACAACGTGTCAGATGCTGAATCTGTAGGAAACGTTTTCAGTCATCATGGAAACCTGAGACGAAGGACATTTTATTTTGAAGGGGACAGTAGCTTTTGGCTGGCTTTGTGCGCCACGTTTCAATAAGAAGACAGCCAAGGCTTGTGACCCCGATGTTTTCAGCCACGCAGGATTCATTCATTCATATTATTATTATTCTTTAGTAAAGCCACAGCTTTGGAAAAGCCTTATGCTGTTTTTGTTTTGGAGTAAAATAGTAAAACAATGAAAATAAGCTGATGTTCTCCAGAAGGTTTTGAGATAAACTTTGGTTATTGATATATTAATTATCACATTTCCACTTTTTTAAAAACTTTTTATTTATTGCTCTGAAAATTCCTGACTTATTAAAATAAACACACATAAATGCTCTATTTTATTTCCCATTTCCAACAATTCATGTCTTTTTATGTTATTTTATTTCATTAACTTTTTCTGTTAAGTTTTATGCAAGTTTATACCTGTTTGATTATATTTTGATTTGTTTCTCATTTGATTAATGTAGTTTTTAACACTGTTTTAGATTCACTCATAAATAAAATTTAATTTTATGTTTTGTCTTTATTTGGTTGTGGTTAAATTTATTGAACCTAATGTTTGTAAGTCATTGACTCACATTTCCAGACATCAACCTCAAACAGTAAGGTGGAAATAAAAATGTGCTTTGCTTACTTTTATTTTATAGTAATTATTGTGTAGATACACCAATAACTCTGCTGTCAGTGAATTTGGGAAATTCAAATATTTATATCCTTATTTTGACTTTAAACACACGATTAATGCAGCTTTTTATTTTGATACTGCAACAAAAGATGTTGAAATTGATGTGCAAAGATGCTTTACATCCAATTCAACTGAGTTTCTACTTGGAAAGAAAAGAAATCTCCAAAACATCTGGAGTTAAAACTACAGATGCAAACCAAGTTTTTTAACCTTTTCACTCTTTCATAGGGTTGAAAACCACACATCCTTTAACGTACACTTCAGTATTTTACATTACTTTGTGTTGGTTTAGCACATAAACTTACTGATTAGTCTGTGGTAGTTATGAGACAAAATGAGACAAAGTTCAAGGGTAGTGAACATCTTTGCAAGGCATAAAAGCTGAATGATTTGCATCTGGTTTAGTTAACAGTTTCTTTCAAGCAAAACATTTCTGACTCCAAACTCCAAAATTCTTGAGATGCATCTTAAACTTTTTGAGTATTTTTCGAGCAAATGTTTGACTTTTTCAAACTCAAAAATATCCATATTTTTTATGGAAAATGTCCATGTTTTTTCTGGAACTTTTTCAACTTTTCAAACTGTGAAATTATCTGTTTTTCTAGAAAAGTGTGTTTTTCTCATAAATCTTTGACTTTTCAAACTCAGAAATTTTCAAGACTTTTTTAGAAAGTTTCTGCATTTTCTCTTGCAAATCTTCCAAATTTGCAAGAGAAGAAAATTTCAGAAATTTCAGAATTTTTCTTACAACATTCCGAGATTAATCTAAAATTTTCTGACTTTTTTTTCACCAAAATATTCTATTTTTCAAACTTAGAAATTTTCCAATTTTTTTCTAGAAATTTTTTTTAGATTAATGTTAATCTTTCTGTTTTTTCCAGCAATTTTTTTTTTACTTTTTCAAACTCAGAAATATCCATATTTTCTATGGAAAATGTTTGTTTTTTTCTAGAATATTTTTAACTTTTCAAACTCTGAAAGTATGTAGATTAATCTAAAAATTTCTGAATTTTTTCTCACAAATCTTCAACTTTTCAGACTTACCAAAATTTCCAAGTTTTTTCTACAAGGTTTCTGCATTTTCAAATATTTCAGAATTGTTCCTAAAAAAAATTCTGAGATTAATCTAAAATTTTCTGAGGTTTTTTTTTCCACAAAAATTTTCAATTTTTCAAACTCAGAAATTCTCGTGTTTTTTGAAGATTTTTTTAGTTTAATGATTAATAGATTAATGTCAAACTTTCTGTGTTTTTTCTAGCAACATTTTTGACTTTTCAGACTCAGAAATGTTCACTTTTTTAATCTCATAATTTCTGCGTTTCTTGATATACAATTCCTCCTATTTTTCCTCGTCCCCAATGTGCCGCCGTGGAAAACGCCCTGCGTCAGAACCTCCAGGTCGGCTCTGCGGCTCTCGGCCCGACACCCAGCCAGCGCGTCTCGGCGCTCCCTGGCTCTGCGCCTCGTGCGTATTTGTGCATCCCAGGACGGTTGACATTGATTGTGCAGGAGACAGACTGAGACACATTAGTACCCAGCTCGCACTCGCTGCTGAAAAACACATTAACTGGCTGCATTGGGAGCCCTGTCTGGTAACCATGGTAAAGCACACAGGCTGGGAGGAGGCGGCGGGGTGAGACGGGGCAGCGGGTTCAGCGCGCCGTCTCTCAGGGGTTGTCTTTCTCAAACGCTCCTTTCCCTTTCCTCCGGCCACGTCTGTCATTGTCTCTCAGCCTCTCTTGTCTCACACCGACAGCTTCTCTCTCTCTGTTTGTCTCACATATTAACACATTTGCATATTTCTTTTTTCTTTGTCTTAGATTCTTCCTGCTGACCCTGACATTACCTCATTCTCCTCCCCCTTATCCAGCCACCATGTGCAACATAATCTGTCTGCCTCTTGTTGTTTGCCGTCTTTTTCTGGCCTTCTCGTCTCGGCCGACAGGATTCCTCGGTGAAGACGGGAGGGACAAACGTGGGATAAACTCAGCTAAAATTACAAACTGTGTGAAGAGAGATTCAGATTGTGGAAGTTTATGACAACATGCTGAATTCATCCAGTAATTTTAGATTAATAAAGTGTCTACAACAAGCCTGCTGTTGTTATCTAATATTCATGTTGATATTTTGTCCATATTGTGCAGTATTTTTAATCTTTTTCCTGTTTTTACATGTATTTTATATTCTTTGTGTGAGTCTATTTGCAGCCAATAAATATATTTATATTCTATTATACTACAAACTATTATAATTCCTTTTCTTTATGAGACAGGTCACACTAAAATCATAATTTAAGTCAGGTTCTTTAAATTTGGTTCCACTGTAGTCTTCTGAAATCTAGTGTTTTATTATATCTTTATTTCAATTATATTATGAACGTCAACTTATATTTTTATTATTATTTTTGAGAAGACCTGTATTTATGTAACCTTAATTTATATCATACAAACATTGCACTTTTTAAATATTCTTTTAGCATAAGATGTTAAAAGTTGAAATGGTGTAACAGTGAATTAAATTAGGGAACTAAAACAGAGACGTAAAGAGGAGCGGCAAAAGCAAATGAGGTGGATTAGCCACCAGAACATGCTGCTGTGGAATATTTCTACTGCTGAGCTGTTGTCATGTTCTAATACTGTCATACACAACCGACTTCAGTCAGAGGCTTCTTCACATTAACTGCAAGACTGACTGCTGCTGGAGATCCTTCCTGTCTGCAGCATTACCATCAACTCTTTGAATGTATGTTTGGTATAAATAAAGTGTTTTTGAAATTGGATTGTTCATCTATATTTTGTTTGTTTATTTTTGATTTACTAACTGAATTCATTAAAAAACTCAAACAAAAAACAAAAAAGTGGAATTTCACTACGTTATTTGACTCTAAGCAACTTTAAAATCTGGTTGAACTGGTTCAAATGGAAAATAAAATCCTTAAACTGTTTTTTATTGCTGGCATGAAGAAACCAATGTTTACAGACGTCCACTAAATTTTCCGAAGCATTGTGCCAAGTGCTGCATGTTTTAACCAAAAATGATTTATTTTAGTCCATTTAATAATTTAAAAAAAAAAACCTGAAATATCCCTTTAGCAAACTCGGAAGCCAGTTTCAGGTTTTATTTTTCAACAGAACTGTACAAGGTAAGTAGCAGCTTTTTATGGAAAAAGTTTTGATATAACATAATAATTACCTGGTATTGCTATTTATTTATTTTTCTCTCGTTTTGTTTTTCCAATCTATATAGTGTTTCTATTTTATTTTATCTACATAAAGCAGGGTTTAATATGTGCGAATCTTATTCCAATGTTAGAAACAACATTCGAGCACTCGATTAGGAACTAAAAATGCAGAGCTCTTGTTTCCTTCAGAGTCCGCCAGACATGACGGACCACCGGGAATAGCTATCAGAGCTTTTTTGAGAGGGAAACTTCAGACAAGGAAATGTGGCTGTGGGGAAGATGAGACAATAGAACATGTTATTTTACATCGCAGGAATTACCGGATTTAGAGAAACAAATTAATTAGGAACCTTATAAGTATGAAAATGAAATTTGACAAAATTGTTCAGGAAGCAGTGAATATCAGGCTATGTTTGATTTTTTAAAAACTGTAAATTTTAGAGTAGGATATAGTTTTTTTCCCCCCTTTGGTTTATTTTATTTTATGTCAAGTGGTCCACACTCCTTACCATTTGGTGGCGGTAATGCTCACCTAACGTTTTTTGCAAACCGTCAATAAATTTCAAGAAGAAGAAGAAGAAGCCATCACAGCAACAATAAACACGCACTTTCAGTTTACGGTATGTCTCCTGAATTAATATTTACCGAAAAATTAACCTGAAATCTCACAGGGGTGGAGTTTAAGATGAGAAATGCACTGTGGTGTTTGCAGCCTTTGATCGTCTTTATATCTCTATCTACAGCGGTAGATTTATGAAGCTGGCTAATACCTGGAAAATAATCTAGACTGTGGTCAAAGCTTTTATTACGGCTTTAATTTTAAATAAATACTCTGATTAAAAATGCGCCGTGTCTTAAGGGCTCTCTAGCGCATGTTGCATATATTTTTATTTATTATTGTGCATACTGGAAATGAACAGTAAGACAACACTCATTCTGTGTTGTCTGACTGCATTGTATTGATTTAGACCGCCTGTGCATTTTCCCGCCGTTATGAGATTGTAATCCGGGAAATAGACGGAGCCTTTTGAGAAGCAACCAGAACTTGGCTTCCTAGTTAGAGGTACACCTTAAAAGTCCCGTTCTGCCGGTAGAGGGCGCCTTTTACTCGTTCTGATAACTGGAATAAAAGTGAATGCAATAAATTTACTATGCTATTTATAAGATATATATGGAGTACCAGAGGTGCCAAAATTAGATTAGTAAATATTTTTAAAATTTAATTATAAATATATGAATTAAATTTAATTATTTGTCGAAAGCCATTCAAATTTTAATTTATGTAATATCTCAGTATAAGAAATATTAATATTTAATTTAACTTTTATGTGTACTTTTAATATCTTTGATAAAGTTACAAATAAAATGTTTTATTTTCAGAAAAAGACACCAGTGTAAGTTCATTCATAAAATACTTTAAAAACAACAAAAGGTTTTAATTTTTTTAATTTTTTTGTATCTTTATTTATTTCAGTGGAGTTTATTGGACCTTTGCAAACATTGGGTTGAGTCTCTGTGAAAGTGAATTATTTTCATTCCACTTAGATTTTGAATTAATTTTAATTAATACAACTAATACTTAAATATAGAAGAATTAATTTTAACTTAAAAAGATTTAACAATCATGCTATCTAATATATTACTGTAATTAAAAAGTATTAAAACATTTAAATAGATGTGGGTATTTGTCATTTCCAATTGTATTTTCTTTGTTACTTGTAAATAATGTTTTTACTGTAGCGACAGTATTCATTATTTTGAAACAACATAAAAAGACAAAATATTTTGTAATTTAATGATACAATCCTATTAAACAGGAGATTAAAAAAATGGTCTGCAAAATTTTTATACATTTATTAGTACAGTGGTTCACTGGCTCACCAAAAGGTTTTTATTATTTGTGACCCAAACAGACAAATTTTATGTAATTTTAGGCAATAATATAGATATTTTCTTAATTTAAAAAAAGGAATTGAATTCTATATTTGCAATATTAATGAAACTTGTCTGGTTAAATGAAAAATCTGCAGGATGTCATTTTTATCTGATTAGTCATCAGAATAATTTATAGCGTATTCGACTGCTCAAATAATCGGAGCTGAAACAAGCATTAACCAGTTATTGTTTGGATTGTATCTTCTGTCGGTTTACAGGAGTAGACTGACGGAGCAGGTCTGAGCTTCAGGAAGCAGAATGGAAGAGGAAGTGGTAACGGCCAAGACGAAACAAGAAGACCCCGCCAGCAGTGAAGGGGAGGCCGACGTGGTGAATAAAACTCCGGTCAAAAGAGGGAGAGGGAGGCCAAAGAGCTCCAAAAATAAACCGCTTTTTGCAGTAATCCTGATTCAGGATTCAGGTGATTCAAACAACACGCCTCAACCCAAGGAGCCGCGGGAGTCTGGGGAAGAAAACGCAGAGTCCCCGGTTACAGCCCGCAAGGGCAGAGGACGACAGAAAGGGTCCACGAAACAGAAAAACAGCGACAATACAGAACAATCTCCAAAGAAAAGAGGACGACCACAGGGGTCTGGCAAGAAACCCGCCACTGAAGGCTTAGTAAACGGCGGCGCAAGTCCGCGCAAACGAGGGCGCCCAAAAGCCCCCATAAAGCGAAAGTCTGATGTAGACGAAGGCATCTCCGTATCTCCTCGGAAAAGAGGCCGACCGAAAGGCTCTCCCAATAAGAAATCAAGGATTGAGCGGGAGCATAGTGACTGGGATGCGGAAGCGCACACAGCCGAGAAATCACTGAATATGTCAACAAGTCGGCCCAGGAAGCCTGTGGTGAAGTACAGTGGTGGCGTTCCCAAAACCGTCTCAAAGAAATCTCACAGAGGAAGAGGAAGACCGAGGAAGAACTTGGATGACCCCCAGCCGGTGAAGAGAGGAAGAGGCCGACCAAAAGGCTCTACGAAGAATAATCCGTCTCCATTTAAAGCACGTAGGAAGCAGGGAAGACCACGGAAGTACCCTCTGCCTTCTGCAGAGGAGCTGAAGAAGCCCAAAGTGTGGAAACCCCTGGGAAGACCGCTGAAATACCCCCGAGTCGAGGAGGAAGCGTCAACGACGCCTCGTAGAGGCCGCGGTCGGCCGCGCAAGTCCAAGAAAGGTGCTCACTTACGAAAGAGCCTAACGTCTCCTTCCTCCTCGCGCGACGGAACGCCGAGGAAAAGAGGCCGCCCAGCGGCTAACCCGAGCAGAGACGACGGCGTCCCCCGGAAGAAGCGGGGCCGCCCGAAAGGCTCCACCAGAGGAGACGCACAGCTCAACTACTCCAAGGCAGCTAGCGAAGGCGAACAGGAGCAGACGGAGGCGGAGTCGATACGCGGGGAGGAAGCGGGAGAAACTGTCCTGGCTCAGGACGTTAGCTATGACATCAGCGAGCAGGCTTGATGTACGGTCCGGTCTGACCGCTGTAGTCGATGCCGTTGAGTCATAGATCATGTGTTTTAACCTTCTGTCCGTTCGCTAGGCTAGGCATTCAGCAGCGTCTCCATTTTTACTTCTAACGTCGTCATCTCTTTTGTTGTGCTTTTACTATTATTATTATTTTTTTAAAGAAGTTTTTTCTGAGTGAGAATTTGAAGCCAATACAGACAAGTTGTTCTCATAGAGATGCACCGATCTGGATTTTGTCGTCTGAAACTGAAATTCGGTTTTCTTTGTGATCCTGCTTATTCAAATTTTGACAGATTCTGATGCGTTTCACTGCAAAAACACATCAAGTATTTCTGGTCTAGTTTTTAGTGCAAAATCTATAGTAGACTCAAAACAAGACAAAAATAGTAACTTTTCAGCAAGACAGGAGCTTGTTTATGTAAATAATTCATTAATATTGATGAAAATAATATTTCCACTGGCATTTATAAAAAATTGTTTTCAATATTATGAGTGAAACATTATTAAGAAATTATTTACTTAAACCTAGCTTTTACATATTGCTAAAACGTTTTTAAGACTTGTCTTAGTTCAAGTGTATCAGACATAGTTTATTGTCATTCAGTTGTACGTTTAAAAATGTACAAATTGAAAGAAATTTGTTGCAAGGCTCTAATAAATTAGTAATAATAAAAGGTTTAATGTAAATATATATAATAAAAGGTTAAACTAATGTCAGTTTAGTAATCTTATGAGGGATGGAGCTGTTGTGGAATCTGGTTGTTCTGTATTTGAAGCTTTTAGGCAGCAGGAAGAATAAACCACGCTGAGGGTCCTTCATAATCCACCGAGTTCTGGACAGGCAGCGACTGTGAGCGCCGTCAAAGATGGAAGGACGATCGGTCCCGATGACTCAGCTGTCCTCGCCACACGCTGCCAGTCAGAGGTGTTAGATGCTCCAAACCAGACAGAGATGCTGCTGGTCAGTATGCTCTCTATTGTCCCTCTGTAGGAAGCGGTGAGTATGGGAGCAGGAAGGTTTGCTCTTCTCGTCACAATGACAAATTGTCTCAAAAACTATTGCGATAAACGATAATATTGTTTGAAGACCATTTTAAACTGGTGCAATGGAAATGACATGATAATGCATTATGTCATTTTAGCACATCCTGCTAAAAATAAATACATTTTATTTTCAACATTTAACACTGGAACTGATAAACAAAAGCAAAAATAAAATGGACTCTCAGTCTCTGTTAAAAAATGCAACTAAACGCAACATAAAACCAAAGTGGAAATAAAAACTACATTCAACCAAAAGAGTGCAGATTATGAAGTTGACATTCAGGATTAGATGGTTTGCATCACACCAGTCCACCTGATGCTTCGCCCGTTCGTTGTTGTCCCTGATGAGACCCTCCAGTGCTGCGGTTCTGAGCCTGACAGGTCATCAGTGGGCTCAGTACGCAGAGCCAGTGCTGAGGGAGACGACCCCCGAAGCGTTAACATGGTTGTAGTGAAAACTAGAGCAGAAATACTTGGCAGGATTTTGTGTTTTTGCAGCGTTTTGTTTTTATTGGACATATTCATAAAAGAAGAACTTTGATTCAGACTATTTGTCCTGTTTTTTCTCTAAGGATTGTAAAAAAAAAAAAATGTCTGTGCATTCGCATGAAGGAAATACAAGATTATGTCCTTTAAACTTTATCTGAATTGTATTCAGTTCAAAACAAAATGCGTTAAAGTATACGTCGATGGTTGACGCCTTTACAGACTGAAAATGGCGCAACTTCCTGTTTTTGATGCATTTATTTTATTTTTATTTTGTCACTGATCGGAGCTCATTAATGGAAAATCGGGCCGATTCCGATCTCTAGCAGTTTTATCGGTGCACATGATGCATATATTGACTTTTCTTGTCACTTTTTTTGCCTTGTTTTTAGCACAAACCCTCCACGTCCATTAAGAGATGAAACTCAAGACCTTCAACATCCTCCAGAAGGTGGCGCTGGAAGCTGGTCTAGATTTTTCCATTTAGAATCTTGTTTTTATGCCTTGTAAATTGGCCAAAATGTGCTTTTCATTTCTTAAACCTACGGTGGAAAACAGTTTTTAAAAACAAAGTATTGAACAAAAAAGAAAGTGTCAATTTGAGGTATTTTGTTTCTAATGATTTAACGTTAATTTTGGGATGAAGTTCTTTGGTTTTAAGCATTTCAGTTGTTTCTTGTGCTGACGTTGTCCATGACTCCATGTTCTGTTGTTGCCTCAGTGCCAAAGCTTTGAATGTACTTTATTTTTATTGACTTTCTGTTAATTGCATTCCTCCAGCAGTCCAATAAAAACCACATGTCGCTTTCCTGTTGCACCTGGAAGATTTCCTCCTCTTTGTATCTATTAACAGTTTGTTTTGTCTTTTAATGTTAGGCATGTAGCGCTCATTGTTTTTCTTTTTTATTATTCTTTATTTTTAACATTTTTTGGGATCAATTGATGATTTCACCAACATTCATGTGTGTGTTTTGGGGTACTTGTGCGTTGTACGTGATATTGACAACTTTTTAAATCCAAGAGGGAATTAGGCTTCGAGGTGGATTTTGAGATTAATAATTTGTGAGAAAATGTTTGAATTTAAATAAAATGTTCATCTGGCCATTTTATTTTCTGCTGTTTGTTTTTTTAATGTAAATTTTATAAACATTTGAGTAAATAATGGCTACTAGGAGCTCAGGATAATTCTGTGTCGTTAGCGGCTCCACACCCTCAACTCCTGTTTGTGACGTCATTAATGAACAATGCCCCTGAGTCACTGATAAAGATTGTGAGCTAGAACAGATGTATCACTACACAGAGAAAAACGTTTTTGTATTTTCAGATTTTATTCAATGTCAGATTCTCTAAATGTTGCGTTCATTTTGTCCTTCCAGGCTCTCTTCCTCATTTTCTGTCGTCTTTTTCATTCTATGTCCTTTCAGATTTTTTTCTTCCGCGGTCTTCTTTTCTTTCTTGCTTGTCCCTCCTTTTTTTTCTTTCCTGGTTTCATTTCCTGTTAATTATTTCAACATTTTGTCTTTCCTTACTTTTCTTTTTTCCCCAACCTTCTCACTGTGTGCTTCCTCAGCCGGATGGTTTCTAAAACCAGCTTATTGTGTAGAAATGTCCGCTATAAGTAATACATTTAGAAGTTCATGGAAAACTAGAATTAAAGGATTGGTGGTTTTAACTGCCACATTATTGTCTTGTAAAGCTTAAAATTTTATATTTTCTTGTTCTAGATCAGAGATCCGCAATCTTTTCACAAGGGTTAAATTAATACAGAACAAGCTTATATTTTAAATATAACAACAAATGCGGATTTTAACTTTTTGTCAATGCACAGAATGACCCAGCAACCTCTTTTAGATCTGTTTTTCTTGTCATTTAATATAATTTTCCCACATAATTCATTCTTTTTTTTTTTTTTTTTGCAAAACCTATGTGGTATTCCTTATTTTCAAACCCAAAAATGTCAGTTGAATGGTTGTTCTTTAAGAATGCCAACTCATTTCCTGTAGTAGATGTTGATTAAAATGATACATTGTCTCTTTTTCAACAGATAATCCAACATTATTGACTCTGAAGTTTTATTCAGTGGATGACTGGCAGTATCACCTCATGTCCCTCATGTTGTTTCTCCTCCAGCTTATCTGATCGGACTCCAGTTGTGAAATCTTTCCAGTGTCTTCAGTCGGCACTGCGGAGCCCTCAGGGTGGAAACATGGCGGAAAAAAACACACATAGGAGCCGCACATACCTGTTGCTCAATACCTGATGCCGAAAGAAATTCAAACTCAGGTTTACTGAGAAGCACTTAAATGTTTCAGCTTCTAACAAAGTCAAGCGTGAAATATCCAGGAATGTGACTGATATGATATGCAAAGGAATCATAAGTCATACAATCAGTCATTTAGAGCTGACCGGTTCAGTTCAGTTGAACCCAGAGGTGTCTGTCCTCAACCAGCTCCACTTTTTCTCAAAAAAAAAAACTGATTACTCTTAAACTCCTCCCACAAATAGACAACCATCCTCCGGTTACCGTATTTTCTGCACTATAAGGCGCACCTAAAAACCTTCAATTTCCTCAAAAGCCGACGGTGCGCCTTATAATCCGTACTCCGGTGCACCTTATAGTGCAGAAAATATGGTATTTTATATTAAATTATAATGTGATGCCAAACCTTTATTTTGATAGAAATGTAATCATTATATCATGTTTTGACAAAAATGCATTTTTATATTGAGTGAGTTTTATCTTGACCTAAAAGTTTCATATTCTTTAAAAAATAAATGCCATCTATCTTTCTGGTCTTCTTTGTAATGTGTGTTTACAGGGGCGCAACTACATATTATTCAGGTGGATGCAAAAACATAAATAAAAAATAAATAAAATATTATACAAACGGGTTCAAATTATTTTTCTTTCTTTGAAAATGTATTTATTTAGGAATGTTTTATTTATTTATTTATTTATTTATTTATTTATTTATTTATTTATTTATTTATCGAATACTGCGGGATAAATGCGAAAACGTCAGGTAAAGTCGACCGTTACGTTGGACGTGTTTGGGAACCGGCATCTCCGGCGGAGTGATACTTCTCCTACAATGAACAATCTTTGAGACAAACAACTTTCTTCCACCTGCCAGGTAACTTCTGGCATAAACGTTGGATTACAAAACGACATAACTTTCAACAAAATCACAAGGTTAACGAAGTTCTGGAGATGTGGATCGACTAAAACCGGGCTGGTGGAAACGTTCAGGTTTGATATTTTATGTCGTTTAAAGTCGTTACGTAAAACAAACAAGTGTAGCTCAACTAAACAGGTTGAGCTAAACTACATTCCTGCATAGCTAAACAGCGCTAGCTACATTAGAGATCGCATACAAGGTGTAACGTATTACTGCTATAAGTTATTTTAGCTTAAAGTATAATTTCTTTTTTATCTGATTTAAACGAAAACCAACAGTTTTACGTTGAATGGTTAAGACGGAAGAAGTTAAATAGTAAAAGAAATAAAAATAGGTGACGATTTATTGCCTGTACGAAACTGTATGTTTATTTTTGTTATTAGTGTTATTATGTTCAAAAGAGTTAATTTAAAATAACACAATGCCTGTGAGTAACGCTATGATGATTATTTTGACTCCAAATAATTAATCCCTAATTAAAGTAAACATACATTAAGACAAAATTCACTGTGTTGAATTTAGTATAATATTATTCAATAATGGATAATAAATCTGTTTTCCCCCCTTAATTTCTTTATAATTCTGCACAAATCCAGCGACTTTTAGTAGAAATATCCTTTGACTGCCTGTGGAATCAAAGCTGCCCAAACAGAAACCTACTATGTAAACTGGATTGTCCTGTGTGGGGACAGGATCAGCCATGTAGAGCAACACACCCATGATAAACATTGAACTTTGGTTATTAGGATAAGACGGCGTATTGTTGTTCTTGTCTTCACAGGGAAATTTCCAGGATTGCTGTGTCTGAAAATGGCTTCCTTGAGCAAAAGGAGTAGCTGTAAACACTGAGGATCTTTATAATTCAACTGGATATTGGCTAGAAATCAATAAACAAATAAAAATAGTTTCAGAATGGCTGGTCAGGATGGGTTAGTCATGGATTTGAATGATGTGGTGGTTTTTCCACCTGATGGTTCAAATGCAAAACCTAAAGTAGCAGAAGGTGAAAAACAAGAAGACAGTGACACCAGCGCAGAGGAGCTGAAGGAGAGCACAGATGAGGAGGAGGAGGAGGAGGAAGAAGAAGAAGAAGAAATGGCGAAATCTGCTCATTTTGAGCCGTCCACTTTACCCTGGTCTGGAGACAAACACAGGAGGCTGCTGCTGGAGCAGGACGACATCTTAGGGCCCGAGGAGAAGGACTCTGGGTTGAGTCAGGACCTGTCAGAGGAGCGAAGCCAAGCGGACGGAGATGTGAGGAGCATAGCGAAGTGCAGGGAGAGCATGCCAGAGGATGAGAGGTGGAGGGACGACGAGATTGAGCTGCAGAGGAACGACAAAGGAGACGGCTCACTGGCCGATGATGAAGACGAGGGGGACGAGGGGTGGATGTCCGAGAAACCGTCTATGGGTTTCACTCCACATGTCATGATCATGTGTCCCACCACCAAGGAGCTTCCTGAGGAAGAGCGGTACTACAGGGAGGAAGAGGAGGTGGAGGAGGAGGAGAAGCGGGAGCTGAACATGGAGCACAACCCCGATGCACAGTTTTACCACGAGTGGGAAGATCAGGAGGACAAGTACTGTGAGTGAAAAACCCAGTTTATTAGAACCAAATGGAACCGATCAACTTCCAAACACATCCAGAGGAAATGGTCAATACTTAAATTAGTCAGTATCTGTTAAAATCGGCGCTGGGACTCGATTAAAGGTCAAAATAATCAACATTTTCAATTGGGGCCAAAACGATTAATCAGATTAATTGATTACTGAAATAATCGTCAACTAATTTCGT